GCTACTATATTTGGGCAAAAATGGCCGCTCCCAGACTCAGTGATTGTTTTTTGACTGTTTAACGCTAAATTCAAATTCATTAAATTAGATGCGGCGTTCCCCAAGGCTCCATCTTAGAGCCGCTCCTATTCAGATCTCCATACTCCCTCTAACTCAGACTTTAATAATCTACATCAGTTACCATAGCGATGTAGATGACACCCAGCTGTTCCATCTCCATGTCACCAGGTGACTATGAACCCGTTCCATCTCTGGATAAAAGAAAAAATAAATCAACCCATGGATGAACAAAATGTTCTCATTTGACGGCGATTAGAGTGGCCTAGTCCAAGTCCAGACCTGAATCCAACTGAGAATCTGTAACAATAAGTCTATGATGTCCAAAACCACAATGTTTTTCATTGCACTTATTTATCAGCCACTGGGACACGTCTCATGTTTAAATATGTTTAAATGTATTTGTTTTATTTGTTTATTTCCTTTTTTTTATCTACTTATTTCTCATTTTGGTTTGATAATTTCTAAACCTTTCATACCAGTTTTATTTTCCATGAACTGTGGGAATTTGACCTCACAAAGATGGCAGCTGGGGCTGAAAGCACCTGAAGAAGCGCTTGTTGGACTGCGCCACCTGCTGGAGAGGCGGGGGATTCTTTACTTTTTCTTCTTTTTTGTGTTCACCTTTTTTATTTTTATTTAAAGATAAATGAGGCTTGATTTGCTTCTTTGCTGTAGTTTAATTTAACTAACTGGGAGTCAGTAGATAAAATTGTGGCAGACTTTAACGACTCAGCTTTTTATGTAAATGTGTAAACTTGATTAAAAAAAACATCTGTTCCTCACAAAGTTTAATTTTCAAAGTTATTTTCTATTGATGATGTCATATGAAGTTTGACCCTGGTGGAAAAAATCCTCCAAAATCTGCAGAAAACAGAAGTTCTATGAAGTTCTGACCCGTTGGTCCTGAAAAGGCGGCAGACGATTGCCAGAACTTTTGGATTTAGGTTTCTTTTTTTTTTTTTTGGATTTGGATTTAGGTTCCTAAAATAGGACAGAAAGTTTTCCTTCTGCTTCACGGCTGTTTGCTGCTTTCTTTGCTGAAATTCTCACTAAACCGACTGGAGTTTGTGTTTCAAATGTACGGAAGAGGATTTGGGCCACTAGAAAAAAATTTAAAAGTTAACTGATTTTTCATGTTATTTGAGTTTAATATGGGGAAAAAAAAATCTGAATTTTAATATTTTCCCCATATAAAATTGAACGCCTCTCTTAAACTGTAAGAATTCGGACTTAATCTAAGATAAAAGTAAGAATTCTGTCTTTTTTTCCCCCAACTCAAATGAAATAAAAAACGTTTCTTTGCCAGTGGCCCTAATCCTCTTCCGTACAAATGTGACGAATGATGGGTGTGAAAATTTTTCCAGGATTCAACATCTCTGATTCATTCAAAAATAAAAAGAAAAGACTTTTCTCCCAAACAAACACATGAACCTGTTGAATATCTTTATTCCAAAAATTAAATAGGGCAACTAAAAAGGCTCCAGATAAGAGCAGGAGGAGGTAAAAGGAGCCGTCCTGACATCCAGGTTACAGTATCAAACATGAGAAACGGGTTTGGATTCATTCCTTCATGTGAGAGCCCCACAGAACCACCGCACGCTAGTCTGACCCATTATTGCTGTTAATAAAAACAAAAAACAAAAGAAGAAATAACACCAGGGGGCGCTGCAGCTGTGAAATAAATAATGCTACATCACATCCACGCGGACACAGCCGGTACTGACAGAGGCGTTTGGTTTCCAGTTGTGCTCCAGAGTTTCCATGATCGCTCACGGGCCTTTTGGTCCGGTCCGTTCAAGCTCTGCATATTTTATTTACTTGGCATTACACAAATATTACGACACATGAACACAGCATACAGCAGGGCCACGATCCGCACAGGTTCATGTAGACCAGAACTTTATCAGCACCATCAGCAAAGGCACAGTCTGTGACGGTCAATGGGTTCGAAACTTCGGAACCTCCCCTGTATGGGTCCGACGGTAAACTTCGGAACCTCCCCTCTACGGGTTCGACGGTAAACTTCGGAACCTCCCCTCTACGGGTTCGACGGTAAACTTCGGAACCTCCCCTCTACGGGTCCGACGGTAA